GTGATGCACAGAAGGAGACATTATTCACAAAATAAAAACAAAACCTATAAACACTGTATACACAGACATGCAACTGTGCATGAAAACAGAAATGTACTATTCATTTCATTCTTGGTTTGATTTTCATAGAAATATGTTGAAGGAAACAATAAGCGTCTGCTATGGCAAAACACCTATCTACTTACTCTTAATCTACTAAAATCAATGGAGGGGTCCAAAGGAGGCTTTCAGAGAGGGATGCATGTGAGTTACAAACTGCAAAATAATGCTGCAGCCTCAGTGCTTTAGGGAGTCCAACTCCGAAAGCATATGAAATGCACAGGGGAAGGAGAACCTCAGTCTAATATATCCAGGGTGATAGTCTCTATTGATAAGCGGTCATTAAGAAAAACTACCCTAATATAAAAGCTCACAATTCTCAGTAATTTTGTGAATGATAGCAACGTTGAGAAGCAATGATACATTTAGAAGACTAAAAAAGTTTAAGTAGAAGATATAAATGTGATGACAATGAATTTGATCATTTGGGATGAAAAAATGGTGATTTAGACAGTAACCTTACAAGGTTATATATAACTAGTATCTAACAAGCTCTAGACTTTACAAATAAAATTATTAAAACAGAACTTATTAGGAAGAAAAAATAATAATCAGTTGCTCTATGTGTGTGTCAAGGGAATAAACTTTATATACTTAGTTACTGTTGGATTTTTACACTAAGCCTACAATGTTTTAATGTGATATTCCTGTGTTTGAAATAAAAAAAGAAGATATAAAATGCAGCATAACTAATCTTACCAGATCTAAATAATCAAGAAATAAATTAGAAATGATATTTTTAAACTTTTATAAATACTACAGTCAATACAAATAAATTCAACATTTTCAATTGAAAATGGGGTCCTTCCATGAGCAGTTGATCACATAGCCAAGTTATCCAATGGCTCATTTTAAGAAAAAAAAAATAGACAAATGGATTTAAAAAAATGATGTAGTACATACAGGGGTTGGCAAAGTAGGTTTATAGTTGTGAGTACATGAAACACAGTTTATTTTTGTATTATTATTTATTCATTACTGTACAGTAGTATTTTCCATATGAACAATCGTAAACCTACTTTTGCCTAGTATACAATGGAATATTACTCAACCATAAAAAATGAAATAGTGCCATTTGCAACAGCATGGATGGACATAGAGGCTATTATGCTCAGTGAATTAAGTCAGATAAATGAAGACAAACAGCATATGATTTCAATTACATGTAGATTCTAAAAAACAAAATAAATGAACAAGCAAAGCAGAAACAAACTTAAAGACACAGAGAACATACTGATGGTTGCCAGATGGGAGGGTACTGAGGGAATGGGTGAAAAGGTGAAGAGATTAAGAAGTACAAATTGTCTATTATAAAAACAGTAATTGGTATGTCAAGTACAGCATAAGGAATATAGTTAATAATCCTATCTAATAAAAAAGTAATATGCAAATTAACTATCACTCCCGCCACACCCACCAGCCATGCCCACTAGCCACACCGACCAGCCAATCAGATCATGACTGGCTTACAAACCAGCACAGGCCCCTCACTCAGGCCATCCCATGCCCCAATGGAATCTCCACCCTGATCTGAGACACCCTTCAGGGCAAATCAGCCAACCCGTACCCATGTACCAGGCCTCTATCCTATCTAGTAAAAGAATAATATGCAGCTTGACCATCACTCCAACACACAATATGGCTGCCCCCATGTGGATACAAGATGGTGACCACAAGATAGTCAGCAGGGGAGGGCAGTTGAGAGGGACCAGGCCTGCGAGGAAGGGCAGTGGAGGCAATCAATCCTGCAGGGGAGGGCAACTAGGGGTGACCAGGCTGGCAGAGGAGGGAAATTAGGGCAAACAGGCTGGCAGGGGAGCAGTTAGGCATCAATCAGGCTGGCATGGGAGTGGTTAGGAGGTGATCAAGCTGGCAGGCAGAAGCGATTAGAGGCAATGAGGAAGGCAGGTAGGCAAGCAAATGGGAGCCAGCAGTCCTGGATTGTGAGAGGGATGTCTGACTGCCCGTTTAGGCCGGATCCCACTGGACATCCCTCAAGGGGTCCCAGACATCACTCAAGGGGTTCCAAATTAGAGAGGGTGCAGGCTGGGCTGAGGGACACCCCCCAACCCATGCATGAATTTCATGTACCAGGCCTCTAGTATTATAATAATTGTGTATGGTTTCTGGCAGGAACTAGACTTATCAGAGGTTCACTCTGTGAGTTATATAAATGTTTCATGATTATGTAATACACTTGCAACTAGTAAAATATTGTATGCCAACTTTAATTTAAATTTTTAAAAAGTATTTAGTCATTTTTAAAAAGAAATGTCAACAAGTCCACAGAATTCATTATATCAAACAGCATGCTTTCTTTCTTCTCAAATCTAACTGGGCAAATGAAGTCGCAGAGTTCCTAAAGAAATAATTGTACACATCCCATATTCTCAGCAGGAAATGATAATTATCATATAATTTAATGGCTCATTTTAGGGTGAGTTTCTATATCAAATTATCAAGAAAGCTAATGTTCCTTATTAAAGTTGGTTTTGGCTACTTCTTCCATAATTGGCAGGTTCTCAATAAATGTTTGTTGAACTTATTTAAGACTAGAGCCCCAGTACACAAAATCTGTGTCTGGAGGTGAGAGGGTTGCCCCTCAGTCCAGCCTGTGCTCTCTCACAGTCCAGGAGCCCCGTGATTTTGCCCCCAAAAGGTAGGTCCTGCCCACCTGCCGCAGTCCACTGGTTGGTTTCCTGGGGCCTCCCTCTTTGGGGCGATCATGGGGTGATGGCCAGGCCCCCAACCAATCACATCACACCCACCTTGGCTGGTCTGGCGCCAGTGGGTGTCATAGCATGGTTGTCCTGAGGGTCATTCTGCTATTAGGTCGTTAGGCTAATTTGCATATTACACTTTTATTATTGGTCTGATTAAGAGGAATTTGTGATCAGGTCAGTATAAGACTTTGCCTTAATTTATACATCTGGGGGTGCAAAAACGAGATCCTGATGAAAACCTATGATTTGTTTCAAACATGGTTTTTATAGAGCACTAGTCTGTTCTAAAAATTCAAAGTCTCCATTTTTACATGAAAAGTTTGGAATTATTTATTCAGAAAAATTGGGATTTGCTGGTCATTTTAATTTTGTATAAAGTTTTAGAAACTCTCTAAGAAAGTATAACTTGGGATGTTGGGTGAGTGTATAGTCTCCAAACATGAAAGATACAAGATATGACAGTATAAACAAACAAAAAAATGACATAGAGTTTAAATAAATAAAGGTTTTCTGGGAAGCTATTCAGTGCCAGGCAATTTATTATCCCACATGGCCCCTTCTAATTCTATGTAAATAGGCATTACACCAAGTATTGGTGTGCAGAAACAAGAGTCAAGAAGAGGAATTACTGCTTAGTTACATAGCAATTGAGTATCAGAGATTACTCTTAAATCCATTGCATGTAATGGCCACTTAGACTCATTAGTTCCTCAACAGGTAGCTCTGCAGGCAGGCAGGGGTACATGCATGTATTTTGGCTAAAATACTAGTATACCTCTATCTAAAGTTAATAAGGTGGATGTTGCAATAAAAAGGCATAGTGTTTAGTCCTTTAACTTGACAGGATTTAATGTTATAATATTTTTGCAGTTAAAAAAGCAGAAGCATCTTATATGTTATATATAGATGAGATAAATGTGCCAAATATTGCTGTAAATTCAATTTTTCAATCACAAATTAGAAATATAAATAAACTAATATTATTTTGTTATGGTCTTCCATTAGTTAAATATGCTACTGAAAGGTAAAGTTATATACCAGCAGAATGAGATATACTCTAGCTATTCATAACTTTCGTAAGGGCATAAAATAACTTTTTTTTTTTTTTGCATGAATTTGTCTCAAGGCACATACCTAGGTTGTAGCTGAGCATATGAGAGGCAACCGGCTGATGTTTCTTTCTTCTCTCCCTCTCTCTCTTCTGTCACTCTCTCCTCCTGTCAATAAACATATTCTTCAGTGAGGATTTTACAAAAGAAAAAAGTCAAATTTATTTTGAGTTTTACTTTTGATAAATGAAAAATATCACAACTTAAAGCAGGTGGAAATTGTGTCTGTGCTAAAACACTCTTTATAGAAATGAGCGGCTGCTAATTACGTAGTGAACGGCACTCTAAGAAGCACAGAAAGAAGTGTGTATGTAGCTTTACCAGTGAAATTTAAAAAAAAACAAAAACAAAAAAAAAAAAACATCAAGAGCTCCAAAAGAAGAGCAGAGAAAGAAAAAGAGAGAGGGAGGGAGGTTAGAATAGAACATCGATTTTCAACTGAATATGCTGCAACAATTTTTAAAACATGACTATTTAGTCAGGGACACTGACTTGTTTTCCCTTATTTGTTAAATAAATTTTAAAAAATGACAATAGCCAACACAACAATATCTTTCCAGTGTAAATGAATCAAAATTATACCTATTTTTTTAATCATATTTTTGGTGTGCCGCAGAATTGTAGTAATTCGTTTATATGTGCCATGAGATTTTGAAAAGTTGAAAAATGCTGGAATAGAGGAAAGAAGGTAAAAAGAAGGAGGAGGAAAAAAGGGAGAAAGAGAAGGGAACAGAGAGAACAGATGGGATGGAGGGAGAGCAGGGAAAACAATCAGAAAATCAGCTGCACATGGATAGCAAAATAAAGATACTGAAAAAAATGACCAAGATGGGAATGTGGGCCCTGGTCAGTGTGGCTCAGTTGGACAGAGCATCGTCCCCTGCACCAAAGGTCACAGATTCGATTCGCCTTCAGGGCACACACCCAGGTTGTGGGTTCAATCCCCAGTTGGGGCTCCTATGGGAAGCAACCCATTGACGTTTCTCATAGATGGTTTGTTGTTTTCTCTTTCTCTTTCTCTCTCCATACAATCAATGAAAAACATAAACTTGGAGAGAATTTTAAAAAGAAATAATAAAAAATTTAAAACAGATGAGAAAGTGCCTAAAGCCAAAAAGAGGAAAACAATTTACAAGTCTCAAAATGAAGAAAGACTAAGACTTGCAACTCTCTAAAAATTGGGAAGCTACAACTAATTGACAGTCCTGAACGTTGGGACCAACATAGGCAGAGTGATTATATTTTCTGTAGCCTCCGCAAATTAGGTTTGTTGAAAATGAACAAAACGTTTTTAGACCCACAAAAACAAGTATATATATCTTTCTATCTGTTCATAAGATGGAATTTTGTGTTTCTTACTAGGGGGAAAATTAGTCCTAAGGCATATACAAACACCAAAGCCAGGATTAAAAAATAGATGACTCATTAATAGGAGCTCATAGGTTTAACTAAGAGACTGGCTAAAGATTAACAGAAGTAGATATCTGGTACAATACTGCATAATAATTTCTCAGATAATTTTACTTCCCCAGGCTGCCTTGGCTTCAAAACATTAACAAGTTCACTACCTTAACCTAACCTTGCCAAGCCGAAGTATTTAAATCCTACTTGGCAAAGTACTTGACAAGCCAAAGCACTTGCCATGCCAAAGTACTTAAATCCTACTTTTCTTCTAAGTTAATAATCAATTCAGAAAGAAGAATAACTGAAAAACCAAAGTGGATAGCCATGTTTGGCACAACTAAATCTGTAATTAGTTGGAAAAAAAATATTACACTTACTCATACCACTGTTTATTGTGTTTTCGGTAAAGCAACGTATCCAAGGCAACAGCATTGACATCCAGAGCTCCTGGGGAAGGCCACTGGTTGGTGAGGTGGGCAGTTAACTCTTGTCTTGATCTTAAATCATTATTCTTTAGCACAGTCCTGTGAATATTAAAAGGGTGAGTGCTTTTGTCTTCATTGTTCTGCAATGGCAGAGGAACTTGCCATTAATGGTATCAATTTAGGCCCCCAAAATTCATCTTTTTAAAATGATATATTAATAAACTGTGAACAAAACTACAGGAAGCCTAGATGGGGCTAGGACTGTTTTGTTTCCTACAATATGTGTTTTTCATTCTTTCTTGACTAGCTACAACAAATTCCCTGTGACATTCAAACTTCCTACTGTTTCCACAGAGATATTACTAGAAGACTAAAGGATGCAAACTGCATTTTACATCTTAACTAAAAAACAATAGTGATATCTTAAAGCAACAGGTTATCAGATGCCAGTTAAAATATGAAGGAAAATAAAGATCCCATGTGTATGATTTTCTAGCTTCAAAATTCACAATCTATGTAAGTAATTTAACTCGGTAAACAAAAAGAATTTAATGGGTTGAAAATAAAATTAGTGCAGAAAAATTAAAAAAAAATTCATGCAGTTCCGGTAATTGTTTTTGATAGAAGTGACTATTAATGAATTGTCATGAAAATAATTAAATCAATGACAACTGCATAGAACAGTATAATCCACTGGAAATATTTCAGCTACAGAAGAAAATCTATTATAACAACCAATGGTTTCCTTTCATATTTGTAGAACTGTTCCTTGTTCATGAGAACTTGAAAAAGACTAGCTTTCTGCCAAAATTTCAACTTCACAAACCAGCTGGTCATTGTCACAGACTAATTCCACATCTGAATTTGTGGTTAAAGATAATTTAAAGGCATAATTATATTTGCAAAGTTCTTACTCTACCTCTAACAGACCTTAGAATACCACTTAGGCCCCCTGCATTCTCCAACAGTAGTCCACAGTCTACCATACCAAGGTTCTGAGCCATCAGTTCAGACACAGAAGTAGTTTGTGCTTGCCACTAATTTTCAGAGATAATGACAGTCCTGTGTGGGTGGCAGTCAGTGGTGTGCTGGCAAGACAGTCCTGCGAGAAAACCAGCCTGCACCATACCTCTGGCTGTCAATATGCTTCCAATGGAATAAGCCCACTTTGATGTCTCCAACAGGCTGCACACATTTCTGATTTTTACAGGATACCTGTGTGCATTTAAACATATTGGCTCTGCTATGTCCACAAAGAAATATTATGTGACGTAAACACTGGCTTCTCTCTCAGAATGAAATACTACAAGTTAAATAAACAGAAGTCAGAATTACTTTGTTACTCAGGGTCATTTTGATTCCGTACAAATTTTAGGATTGTTTTTTTTTTTCTGTTTCTGTGAAAAATGCCACTAGGATTTTGATATAGATTTCACTGAATTTGCACATCGCTTTACATAGTATGGAGATTTTAACAGTATTAATTCTTCCAATCCATGAACACAGCATGCCTATGTTCTTAATCTCCATCAATGCTTTCAGTTAAGGATCAAAGAGTTGTTTTATTTTTCAAAGAAACAAATAACTCTGTATTAAACCATCCGTGGCATGACAGAAATGTTTAATGAATGTAATTTATTTTTTGAATCCAGCTAAACCCTGAAAAGTTCCTATATCTTCTAAATATGTAACTTGTACTATATATAAGACAGTGATTAATCATCACACTTTATTTTCACATATTTGTAATTATTCTTCACATGATTATTGTTAGCTTATCTTAACCAATTATGATGCAATACAACACAACACAATAAGACTCTGGGTTGTTCAAAGACACCAAAGGCTTCACTGTGAATCTTTTGTACCTTCTCAGGAAGAAATCTGTTTATCAATGTTTTTAAAGAAAAAACAAGTTTATGCCGAAACTGGTTTGGCTCAGTAGATAGAGCGTCAGCCTGCAGACTGAAAGGTCCCGGGTTCGATTCCGGTCAAGGGCATGTACCTTGGCTGCGGGCACGTTTCCAGTGGGGAGTGTGCAAGAGGCAGCTGATTGACGATTCTCTCTCATCGATATTTCTAACTCTCTATCCCTCTCTCTTCCTCTCTGTAAAAAATCAATAAAATATATTGTTTTAAAAAGAGGGGAAAAAAGAAAAAACAAGTTTAGTAAAAATGGAGTTGGTTACTATCTCTTTTTAAAACAGCATTCTACATCCAAGTTGTCAAATAATTTGCTAAGTTTCAGTGTGAGATTTTGTCACATGAATTGAGCCATCAAGAAGGGTATATTTACACCATCCTCTACTAATGTGGAATACTTTATAGGCATCTAAATTTTTCATAGAGTATTTTTAAAAGTATTTCAATGTTACCGGATAAACTATTGCTTCTAATAAAACTTCAGTTAATATTTTATTATACTCATCTTCCTCATAAGACATTTACACCAATGTTTCTGTATATGCTCCTCCCTTTACCTAGAATAACATTCTCTCTCTTCCTAGGTTACAAAGCTCTATTTTTAAATCAACCTTTAGTAATGCTTTTCCTGGACTACTACTCCTGTGCTACTTTCGTAATGTGTATATACCTTTATTACCATACAAATATGCATGTCCCGATACACTCATCACATCACTTAGATGTCAGTTGTTTAGTTGACTCTGAGGGCAGGAACTAGAACAAGATTATTTTTGTACTAGAGGCGCGGTGCATGAAATTTGTACACAGTGGGGGAGGGAGGGGTGTCCCTCAGCTTGGTGTGCACCCTCTCCTATCCGGGACCGCTCAGACATCCCTCTTACAAACCACTGGCTCCTAACCACTCACCTGCCTGCCTGCCTGATTGCCCCTAACCACTCTCCCCTAATGGCCTGATTGCTCCTAACCACCTGCCTTGGCCCCTGCCACTGTGGCTTTGTCTGGAAGACGTAAGGTCTAATTAGCACATTACCCTTTTATTAGTATAGATTCTTAGTATCAAGCCCAGCACTAAGAACAGAAGAAGAGCTCAATAAATGTCAGTAGAATGAATCTAAAGGACAGCACAGAATTTTAAAAAGCACCTTGAAATAATCAAATATGCAAGGGAAGATAGCAAATACAGACTATACTCTACTTCAATACTACTGAAAATTAAATTCCAATGCAACTTTCTTACTTAAACTAACAAAACATCGAAGTAGCTTTAAGGTTTATGGAGTGATTGAATTGCTGTTAAGAGGGTAATAAATATCACTTTGATTTGGTAAACATCACAACAAACTTTTTAGTCTAGTGGTTCTCTAGTCAAATAACTGGGAAAGCATTAAAAAAGACTGATGCCAAGCATCATCTCACATCAATGAAAGGAGTTTCTATGATGGTGGGAGCCGGGGAATGGTATTTTTTAATGAATCTCATATTCATTTTTTTTCTCTTCTGAAATAACACTACATATCTCTCTGGTTATTCCTTCTTGATCTCTTTCAGCAAAGGTCCCTCTCTCCATTTAGTCCTTAAATGTTGGTGGTCCCTTCACTTATATTCTCAAATCACTCAAACAGATTACCTGTAAATACACAGCACCCTGGCTTCAGAATTGAGATCCTACATTATTTTGAGCCCTAAATAATTTCATTCATTATTTTAAAAGAGAGAGAAAAAGGTAAGGTTTCCAATGTCTGGTATCTTTCCATCCTTCAAAGATTAGGCTCTCATCTACTGTTACTTACGAGTTCTTTGAAAAGATCTGTAATCCTGTACTCTATATTTTGATAGCAATGCTTAACCAATTCAAAATTTTATTTGTTTTGTTTAATTATCTTGTGTCTCCAAACTTGAGGGTTATCCTCTCTCCTTTACTTTGTTTCTTTCTCAGGTACCTCAGAGGCTGTGCTGATGCTCACAAATAAGATTATACTTTCGGCTGCTGCACATATGTATATAGGACACACAACCCTTGGCATTTAAAGCTTACTATCTGTGATCCCAAATATTCCCAAGCAACACCAAAGGTCCATAACATTATTTTTATATTTTGATAAGGCAGTACATTTGAAGATCATAGCTATGACATAAGTTTTGAGAGTGGGTCTTGCAAAATGCCTAGCACCATTGCAGCGAACCTTGGCTATTTTCCGCTTATCATTTATTGCCTTTTGTGCTGCCATTCTTAGGATGTATTCCAATGTCACTGAGAAAATCTTAGGCTATAATGTTCATGAAAATAAAGAATTTATTATGTCATGACTATACTAACACAGATGTTTATGCTAATGAACAGAAGGGCAAGGTACTGAAGTCAAAGAAAGGGAAAACCACCAAATATATAAGGTGTTGAATACATTTCATCCCTAACGCTCTTAAAAACACAAATTGACAGAATTCCCTACCTCTACCTTCTCTTACTACTTTGGAAGAGAAACAAATGCTATTTGCTTAATGTCGGTCTTCACACAAAGTAAGCTCTGTAAGGGCAGGACTATGTTGTATTTATTCTTGAGTCACATGGAATAGCGCTCGGCTCTTCGTACATTCTCAGTAGGTATTTGCCAAGTGAATGAGCAAATGTCAGAGAAGTTACAAAAGCAATCTAGTACCGGGAGAAGTGATGAGAATTTACCTTCTTCGTTCATTTAAAGTTGTCCAGAACTGGAAAATGCTTATATAGCTTGTGAATACCCTAACTACTTCATAATGTTAATATAAAAATTCCTTATTTGTGTGCTTTTGTTTCTGTTAATTTTAGACAAAGCCATGGGGTAAACATTAACTTTATATTATTGTATACGTATTTCCCTTCAAATAAAACATTTTTGAAAGAAGCTTAAAAAGGATCCAGGTATCCAAAATCTAGAAATTATTTACCTATGAAATATTCCTGGCTCAAATATTAAACCCAAATCTAACTAAGTCTCTTAGAACAGCAGTAGTTTTCAACCCTAGTTGCACTTTAGAACTTAACTTTATAGCATCATTTGAAAAGAAACATTAATGAGGCCCCAGCCAGTCTGGCTCAGTGGATTGAGCATTGGCCTGCAGACTGGAGTCCCGGGTTCGATTCCAGTCAAGGGCATATGCCCGAGTTGCAGGCTGGATCCCCAACAGGGACACGCAGGAGGCAGCCAGTTAATGATTCTTTCTCATCATTGATGTTTCTATTTCTCTCTGAAATCAATTATATATATATGCATATGTATATATAAAAACATTAATGAGAATGTAGAACTTAAAAAACAAATGGGTCATGTCAGAAGGATACAAGAATTAATATAATGAATTAGACAAATGTGGGACAATTTGAGTATCAAAAAGAAAATATAAGTGATAGAAACACATTGAATATAGGCATTTCTTCTATAGTACAGAAACGAAACACTACAGTGTTCTGCAATAACACACCGACAATAAGTAGCCTGTGGGGAGAATAGGGTTGGGAGCTGACAACTCAAAACCTACTTGACTTTTTGCTAAGAACACTAAGAGGAACATTAATAATCCTAATAGAAATTCAACCCAAATATTTATTAAATTCCTATTAAATATTGCAATAACTTTAACAAAAACAATAACAAAGGAAAGGCCATTTGATAAAAGAGGGTATAAGGAAGAGTTGAGGCTTGCCATGAAGGCAAGAACAAAATGCACACGCACTTCCAAGTTGTAGTTCAACTTAACCAGAGGAATGCAAGGTGGAAGATTATGTACAGGGAGAGAACACCATCTTTTGGTTACTTGCAGTAATTGCCTAAATTAGTATGTTTGCATTGGCTGTTGCTACTTGTAGAGAAACTTAACTTCCAGATAACTATGAATCAGGTGATTTATTTGTTATGCTGACATCATCATCTTATTAATGAATCTTAAATGAGCTAATTTACATTACAGAAGATATCATATATAAAAAGTTCATAAAATTCTCAAAAATAAAAGAGAGAAAGCGAAACGAAATCTTCATCTCTTTGGTAACTAAGAAGGGTGTTGGAATTTTATTCAGAAAATTAATAATATCGTATCAGAACTGTAATGATAACCACCAAAAAGCCCCTAAGGAGGGAAAGCCCCTTTTTTGTAGGTGATTCTGGCCAATTATCATGGGAGCAGTAACAATTACGAAATTGCCATTTTATAATTCCTGATTAATCAATCTCTCCAGCAGTTTCTTGAGTTTAGAAGTTGAAGATATACTTTTCCATAGTACAGCTACAATCTCAGGATGGGTATAAAGTGGTGTCTTAAAAATTCCTTTGCACAAAAATTGTTACAAGAATACTGAACAGAATAAGACCCATTTCTTTTAGAATGTTCACAATTCACTTATCAGAATCATCTTTAAGTACAGAATACTTAAAGATGGGTATTTTTGCAGTGTTGTGATTGTCAGAGGGAAAGGTGGGTAGGGGTTGGTTGGAGGTGGGCAAAGAGGGAAGAGAACATCTGTAATACTGGCAACATTAAAAATAAAGTAAAAAAAAAACACAAAAAAACTTATAAAACTCAACTCCAAAAAAAAATAGCCCAATTAAAAAATAGGCAAAGGACCTGAATACACATTTCTCCAAAGATGACATACAGATGGCCAAGAGACATATGAAAAGATTCTCAATGTCACTAATCATCTGAGAAATGCAAATTAAAATCACAGCAAGATATCACCTCACACCTGTCAGAATGGCTGGCTCTAATCAATAAATCAAAAAATAAATGTTGGTGAGGATATGGAAAAGGGAACCCTTTCGTTTGGTTGATGGGAATGCAGATTGGTGCAGCCACTGTGGAAAGCAGTATGGAGTTTTCTCAAAAAATTAAAAACTTACTGATTTGGCTCAATGGATAGAGCATTGGCCTACAGACTGAAAGGTCCCCGGTTTGATTCTGGTCAAGGGCATATACCTTGGTTGCAGGCACATCCCCAGTAGGGGGTGTGCAGGAGGCAGCTGATCGATGTTTCTCTCTCATCGATGTTTCTAACTCTCTGTCCCTCTTCCTTCCTCTCTGTAAAAAAATCAGTAAAAAAAATTTTTTTTTAATGGAACTGCCTTGTGGCACAGATATTCCATTTCTGGGAATTTATACAAAGAAACTGGAAACACTAAAGCAAAACAATATATGCAGTCCTATGTTCATTGCAGCATCCTATCCCCTAAGTCAGCAGTCAGACATCCCCCGATGGGGTCCTGGTCTGTGAGTGTGCAGGCCTGAGGAGACCCCACACCCCAGTGCATGAATCTTGTGCACCGGGCCTCTAGTTATTTATAATAGCCAAGATCTGGAAACAGCCCAAATGACCACCAATGAATGAGTGGATAAAAAAAAAAAACCTGTGGAACATTTATAGAATAGAATACTACTTGCTATAAAAAAAGAAGGAAATCTTACCCTTTGTGACAGCACGGATGGACCTGGAGAGTATTATGCTACATGAAGTAATCCATTCAGGGAAAGACAAGCACCAATTGATTTCACTCATGTGTGGAATCTAATGAACAAAATGAACTAACAAGCAAAATAGAGACGGATTCATAGACATAGAGCAGGTTGACAGCTGTTGAAAGAGCAAGGGGAAGACGGGTTGGGGGCTGGGTAGGGGTCGTAGAGGTAATGAGGAAAAAAAGAGAGAAAAAATTCATGGACATGGACGATAGTATAGTGACTGCTGGGGTGGGTG